TTTATTCCAAACACTAAAGGGACGATACAATCAAGTCCAACAAAGGACCAAGCCAAAATACATAATAATAAACAACAAAATAGGTGAGAGCAAAAGCCAGCCAAGCTCAGTCATTAGCAATAAGCTATCTACAACTACCCGAAGCTAGGCAAGGGCTATCCAGAAGATGAAAGAAGTAACAACCCACACAACGCCAAAAAGCCAATCAAAAACTCACAATCCATACAAAGGCCACCAATCAAAAAATGATGAAGCACCACCAGTGGTTGCCAATAAGTCAAATCCATCCAGGTGGGAACTGAAAGTTGCCCCATCATTGCTCGTAGCACAAAACACAAATCAAAGACAAAAGCCATCCCCAACAAAGAAGAAACCCAATAGAAGACCAAATCCAAGGATAAAATCATTTCTTTTTTTATTTACAACGTCTATGCTTGCCACACGAATTAGAAAAATCATCATTAGCAAATTGAAGAATACTTAAATCAAAATCATCCCGAAAATTTATTTCTATCTCATTGATTTCTCCCCCACCATCATAAGAATTACCATCAACTAACCAGTCACCATGCAACACCTCATGATCCCTCAATTGACAAGCTAGATTAACTAATAAAGCATCATTTGTCATAACAGAAATAGGCACTTCAATAATAGACACATCAACCTTATTAGCTAAAAGATCCAATCTATTAGGACGAGAGGGAGTAGTCCAATTAATACCAATCTCATCCATAACAAAATGCACCAGCTCACCCACAGGTGGAACAAACTCTCGATCAGCAAGCCCCCTAGGAGGACGAATAGCCGCCACAACACCACAGTTACCATGCACATACAGGTCATTAAAAATTGTAGCTCCACCATCAACAAAAATAGTAGGACTTACTACCACATCAACGCCCCATGATTCAATATGGCTAGGTAAAGTGTTCACCAAACAAGTAGTGGCCAACTCACCCACCACCAAAACAGCAGGAAACAAAGCCATAACAGTACCACCCTTCCAGTCAAACCAAAAGGTAAATTGGCCTCCCCAGGAACCAACAAGTCATTATCAATAGGAGCAGAAATTAAACATTCACCATTAGTAAAACCAGCATCAACATCAGCAGGAGGATGGGACACATGTAAAGCATCCACACCACCCACATGGATGCAACAATGATTAACAAGAGGCAAAGCATCAACTGACAGACCAGCCAAATCAGAACCAGGGTCAACTAAGGAAAACCCAATTACATCCACAGCCGAAATGAAGTCACTACTCAAAGGAAGGGCATTCTCCTCATTAACCCCCAAAGCATTAATAGGAGAAAGAATCAGATTTGAAGGAGCAACATTGGTCGAGATAGTGACATTAGCATGTGAAGGATGACAAGCATCATTCGAGTGTCCTAAGCATTTACATTTATCACATAAAGGAGGAAAATCCTCCATCATAACTTGCTGAACATAGCATATTTTTATCAGGACCGTTCCACACTTTATCCATGTATTTTTGGGTAATATCAATCTCCACCATAACATGGGCCACAGATGGACGAGAGCCCAAAGCAGTAACAATATCCACTTTAAATGGTCTACCAAAAATAGCCCCAAGCCAAGAAGGATACGAGGGGAGAAAAAGTGAGGGTGCAAGTTAGGAAAAGATATCCAAATGGGAATAATGGGAGATTCGACACTAATATCGTCTAACGGGAACCATTTGATCAGTTTCATGAATCAATTATAAACCAAATATGATCTATGGAAAAAAAACTCTATTATAATCAAGATCATTTTCTAACTTGATAAAAACATGAGATTGATCCAACAAGTAATCGAAAATTCACCATTCAAATTAAGGTTGAAAAAAAAAATCCTAATCGAGGCGAGACTAGGACGATGAGATGGGAAAGAAAAAAATAATTAAAACAAACTTAAAAGGCTCTGCTAGGGCAAAAAATTCATCATCTAAAACACACAAAGTAGGTAAACTATAAAAAGTTGTATGCTTAAGGTAGGGATAACAACAACAAGAAGAAGACCTAGATGACACATCAAGGAACGAACGAGATTTATTAAATAATGCCAAAAAATTAGGATCGATGGGCCGGTTCGCCACCATACCGACAAATGACGAAACAATAATAAAAATGAAGAACAAGGGAAGAGAACTCCCCTCGGCGTGAACGAACGACAACGAGAGACGACTCCAGGCCCAAGAACGACGACAAGAGGCAGCTAGGGCGAAGCCCTAGCACACACCATAAAAACCGAGAGGTTCGCCCTAGCACACCCCATAAACATCGAAAGGCAATTTTTCTTCCTTAATTAACTAACTAGGATATACCTTAAATCAACATTTGAATGGGCTTGGGCACGCTGGCAAAATATCTTCCTTTAAGGTGAAATCTCATGAGCCAAGTAACTTTTTAGGTTGAGATCAAATGAGAGGAGTACTTCATGTGATTCCTTGGTTCTACACCTCTAAGGTGAGCTTTATTGGGTGGCGTATCTGCCTTGTGGGTCCAATCCCCCCATGAGCGAACTTTTATTTGGTATGGTGAACGTACGTAGAGCTACGTTCGGCCGGCACTAAGATCGCAAGCACAAAACGAGAAATACTGAGCAAATACCGAGCAATACCAACAATAACGAGAAATACCATTATGTGAAGACAAAATACCGAGTAATACCGAGCAATACCGAGTAATCCCAAAAAAATATCGAGTTTTTTCTAGAAAAACTCGGTATTTTTTGGGATTACTATGTATTGCTCGGTATTTACTCGGTATTGATCTTCACAGAGCGGTATTCCTCGTTATTACCAAACCATACCTAGCAATACAGATCAAATACCGAGTAACAATCCTCTGACCGAACGTAGAGCTACGTCCGGTCAGAGACGTAATAAAAGTTCCCCATGAGCATGACATGTTATGAATGAGTGCATCTCAAAATCAAGCTCCTCTGAATAGATCTCGACTGGTATCCACGAATTCCCTCTACCTACATAATATTAGGGTAAGTTTGTCTTTTTTAGAAAATGACTAGCAGAAGTTACAAATTATAATTTTTTCCCATCTTATATTTTATCTTTTGGAAATATACTGAATTAACTAAAAAGTTTTTAAAAATTATCGGTCTCAATTTCTGAAAAAAAAATAAAGAAATATTTAAAAAATCCCACTATTTTTTATTTTTATTTTGGCTCCAGCACTATATCAAGGTATATGGATTATTCATATTTCATTTTTATAAAAAAACCATAAAAATAATAATATTTGCTTATTTCTATCTATTGTTATCCTATGCGCATTTTTCAACGAACTAATTCATTTGACTTTTGCTGCGTATAGATCTCTTCATGAAAAGAAACCAAACGGTCAACTCAGTTAACTGAGCACATCCGACTACTAACCTTAATCCGAACTTGTGAAGAACAAAAGAACAGTATTAATATCTCCACCAACAGTTCTCTTTTTCCTTAATAGTTTGGCGGAGTATCTGTGATTAGAGTTAAGATCAGGTTTAACTATTTATGCCGACCTAAGTCACCTCCTGTCCTCCACGTGGCAATCAAGATTGGGCGAGTTTGTGGGTGTTTTTTTGGGTGGAAGATTGAAAGACTAATGTTATTACTATAACAACAATCCTTAATTCCACTAGGAGTTATTTTTTTATATGTATTTAAGTAAGAGTCAAATTCTCATTTAAATGTAATAAAAAAAATTATTTTCAATATCTTCTAATAAAATATTTTTAGACATTAATAAAGTCTTTTTAGATATAACTTTAACTTTATTGATATAGGCAAGATCTAATACATCTACGATTTTAATTAGGTCATCAAAAAGTCCATGCTTTAATTGACAAAAACATCTCAGGTAAGGGTGTCAATATTTGATACGACCCGAAAATCCTATCCGAAAATTGCGGGTTAAGGTCAACCCGAACCCAAAACGGGTCGGGTTCGGATTCAACATTTCTACCCGTTTCAAAAATCCGGCCGAATTCGGGTTAACCATTTGAACCGAAATTGACCCAATTTTGACCTGGACACCTGAGATTGACCCATTTTTGATCCAAAAAAGAGGAGATAACCCCGTTTTTGATCCGAAAAAGAGGAGATAGTCCCGTTTTTGACCCAAAAACTAGCAATTTTTTTGTTGGAAACAAATCATTCGGGTCGTGTCGGGTTGACCTAGACCCGAAGCGGGTCAGGTTCGAGTCAGGAAAATTGACCCGTTTTCATAAACGGGTCATGTTCGGGTTGACCCGAATAGTGCCGGGTCAGTTTCGGTTTCGACCCGTGACCCAAAATTGACACCCCTAATCTTAGGCTACTCTATCTAATCTTATATAACACTAGAGCTATTCCAACCTTTTCATTTATATGTTTGTTTCGTATTTAGACTTGGTTTGGGACGGCTTTCTTCCTGCTTCTTAAAACAAATTTTTAGTAAAAATTTTATAATTAAAAACTGCTTTAAGTAGTAAGAAAGCGGTCCTAAATGAAGCCTTAATATTAAATACTTCATTTATTACATATCTCTTACTACTTTCTAAAGCAAATTTTTAATATCAAAATTTTTTAAAAGTAATAAAAGCCAATTATCAAAAGCTGTCACAAAAGAAACCGAAGAGTTCTGAGTTTTTTTGAGATAAATTTCTTACTATTTTTGTAATAAATTTTTTAATACAAAAATTATAATTAAAAACTATTTTAAAAAATAATAAAAAATTATCCCAAATCAAGCTTTCATTTAAGGTAAGCTTTTTACCCGTTTTTTAAGCTAAAGTTTTAGTATTTATTTTAAATAGTAAAATAATAGTGATCAAAAGCTTTAAAAATGAAGCCTAAAATATGTATGCCATAATGCCTATACCTGCAATCAAAAAGAGACCAAATAAATAAATAATAATTCCAATCATCAATTATATTTATTATCCAAATAAATACATGCATAAAAACTAGAGACAAGCGCTTTTATTACCGTTCTCCGCTTTTCAGTTTTCCCCATATCTGTTGCTCCTCGCGAAGAGAGAGAGAGAGGAACCCTTAAGCGAGCTTGGACGAAAACCAGTCTCCGGCGGTTCGATCTGGCACAGTGCGGCGGCTCGGCCGCCATATTGCTGGGAAAACCAGTCGGAAACGGCAGTGGTTGGCCAGATCCGAAGTCCATCTGGCTGCGGGAGATTGTTGAACAGGATCGGATAAATTAATTAAGAGAATCGGCGAGGGGGGAGCAAGTAGAGAGGAATTAAAGAGGATGTACAAGAACCAGCTACAGGAGTTAGCACAAAGGAGCTGCTTCAATCTCCCGTCTTACACCTGTATAAGGGAAGGACCGGACCACGCTCCTCGCTTCAAAGCAACTGTCAACTTCAACGGGGAGGTATTCGAGAGCCCGACCTTCTGTTCTACACTCCGACAGGCCGAACACGCGGCCGCCGAAGTCGCCCTCGCCGCTCTTTCCCATGGCGGACCATCCCATTCCCTTGCAGCTCGAATCCTGGTAAGTTCTTCATTTCTACCTACTTTTTCCGTTCCTGATTACGTCAAAACCCTAGAAATTGAAGCAACCGTCTGTTTGTTAATTCCCCCATTAATTAGCTTTTCTGATACTTTTGAAAAAGAAAAATCATGTGAAAGAATAAATAAACTTATAAACAGTTGGCGGTTGTGTACATACACTTGAATTCAGTATTAGTTAGGAAACTGTATATGCAGAAAGATCTCATTTTGAAATTATTATTGGTATCCGCTGGTGGATTTTTCACCATTTCGGTGATTTTATTTTTTGTATAGTTCGTAGGTCCGAAATTGAATGATAAAATCTGGCTTTTTCCTCTCGTTTTTTAAAAAATAATTTTTATTTGTAGTAGAAAGCTAGAGGATCCCGAACGGACACGGTGATCCGGCGGTATCTGGTATTGTCTTTACTTCGTATTCTTTTACTTAAACCTTCTCTGCTTATTATTTTAGTAATTTTTTTGCCGGTTAGTGACGGGAGTCCCAATTTATTTATTCTATTTAAATACGTTCAGTATTTCTTCCATTGTTATCCTTCACCCACCGTTATTCACAGTAATCTCCTTGTTCTCCACGTGCCGTCTTAATGCCTAAAACGCCTAAGAAGGCTATGGTGGCTCCTGTGGGAAGAAGTTGTGGTGAGGGTAGAACACCACTTTTAACTATTTTAATGGTGGAATAGTTGGTGTCACTTTCCTTCCATTGCTTTAGGGTTGAGTATGGGGAGTTGATTACTCACCCTTTTTTTGAACCTGTTTATTTTGGAAAGTTGAAATCTTTTGAAGTGCAGTTTTGACGCAGGTAGAATTCAATGACTAAAGTAGTTGATAACACTTCTATTTCTTTTTTATTATACGATGTGCTTCCTCATTTTCAAACAAAGTAATTTTGATTATATATTCATTAGATGAATACGACAAATTTCTTGGTATATCACGTCAATTAGCCAGTTTAGGACTGTCTAAAACTTGTATTTCTATTCAACTTGGGAGAGATTATTAGATGCGGATACCGGACGGAGAGAGCCGTCAAATTTTCTCTCGCTTTGACCGCGCTTTCATTGTAAATAAAGAGAAAATCGAACGATTCTCTCCGTCCAGAAAACCTTCCGGTGTCCGCACCTAATAATTTCTCTGAGGAGTTGTAGACTTTCAAGACCTTTGCCGACTCCAAGTTTCTGATTCCTTTGCTAACTTTGAAAACTTATGCTCAAAAACTTAAATAGGTGTTTCTATTGTCTTAATAGTTGTTTTTCTCCATTGGCTGTCCTTTGTCTTTCTTAATTAGATATGGAACTGTGCAGACGTCATATTTGATTAGAGAGGAAAACATATCAGCAGCTAAATACAACCTTAGCAAACAACTTTAAACTATAATAACCGGGTGTTGATAAACCTTTGTGTTGGTGTTATTCCATCCTTTTGGATGCATTCCATTGCTTCTTCCGACATTTGGCATCATAGTGGGCCGCTAAAAGTTAATTTGGATTTTGATTATGGTTAGTTGAATGGGTACTAGATCTCTTTACTCTTCCTGCTTAACCAGATGGGAAAGAAGCATTAAATGGCTTCATAAATTAATAATCATGGAAGTTGACTTATGGCAATCAGAATATGCAAGTCAGATCAAACTAGCTTGGAAAAAAGCTTGATACATTAATGAGACACGTGGTCCAATTGGCCTTTAGATGGTTCGGTCACATAAAACGGCGGCCTTCCGATGACCTGGTTAGGAAAGTAGAGGTATTAGATTTGACTTATGTTAATAAAGGTAGCGGTAGACCTGAAAAGACTTGGTTAGAAAATATTAGAAATGATCTTTCTTTATTAGATTTAAACGAGAATTTGACTTAAAAAAAAAAAAAAAAAACGAGAATTTGACTTTTAACATATAACGCAATTGAGAAAAATGATTCGTGTAGCTGACCACACGTAGTGGGACAAAGGCTTGATGTTGTTGTTGTTGTTGTCCAATTGATTGTGATAAGTGTTGCGTAATGTTTATTTAGAAGCTAAATTAATGCCCTATAAAAAAATATATTACGCAAACTCAGTGCACGGGGGTTTGAAATGGGATGTCCTTTTAGGGTTTTATTGAAGAAAGATAAGAAAAAGTGCAAGAAAAAGAGATGACATAAAACTGTCTTTTAAAATCTTCATCATCATGTGTATTTTGTGTATTTTATTTTCTTTCGTTTGTTTGCTATGGGTGATTTTGCACTAATTCCCAGCACCTAAAACAGTACTTCTGGAGCTGGTTGCCAAGTTTTATTTTTTTTCAGCGGTGGTAATTAGTAGATTTCATAGTGACAGTAAGTGCCAGTTTTTTGTTTACCATTCAAATGAGCTCAATGATCAAAAGACCGGTATATTAAGAGTTTGTGGAACTAATCATTACACGATTCATAATGTTGATCATTTGCCTTACGCACTTTTTCTTTTGGAAAAAGAAGCCTAGAAGAGCACATTGAATAGTTACGCCATAATTTGCTTGACTGTATGGGGTATTATTACAAGTGATGTGAGTATAAGGCCCTTAGCTATATTCTCATGCGTCACTCATCACGGCTTGATGTTGTTCGCCACGTCATTCATGATTATGTTTCCCATTTAGATGATGCTTTTGGGCGGTATTTTTATTTACTTCAAGGTTACAGATTTAGGTTTCGTTTAGGATGGCTTTCTTACTGCTGCTTAAAACAACTTTTTAATAAAAAATTATAATTTTTCACTAAAAAAATGTTTTAAGATGCGGTAAAAAAGCCGTCCCAAACAAAACCTTAATGCTCATTGGCCAGCAGGAATGTTTTCTTTGTTATATTATGGAGTCTTTTTTTTTTTTTTTTAATTCTATGCAGATTTAGTAGTATTCTTAAAAAAATTGTGCTATATAAATTTATCATAATATCCAGTATTTGTTTGATATTTTATTAAGAACATTATTGAAGTTTTATTTTATTCTTAAATTTTCTTTATAAAGAGGAGACCACCAACTATAATTCTATAGAATAAAACATAGTTATATTTGTAATAACGGCAATAAGATGTACTCATCAACTAAGTAAATTAGCATAGAATTCTTTGTGTTTTTGTTCATTTTCTTCTTTTTTGGTTTTCTTTTACTTTTTCACTCTTTGTGGTAGAATTATGTTTCATTTATTTTCCAACACTCTTTAAGCTTCGTTTGGGACGACTTTCTTACTGCTTCTTAAAGCAGTTTTTTTAGTACAAAAATTAAAGCTTTTGTACTAGAAAGCCGCTTTAGAAAACAGTTAAAAAACCGTCTCAAATGAAGCCTTAATCATCCTCAATCTGTGAATAGCATTTCTAAAGCTGAGATTTTCTTCAAGCAGGATGAGACCGGGGTCTACAAGAATCTCTTGCAAGAAATCTCTAGGAGAGTTGGAGCACCATTGCCATCTTACACGACTATCCGTTCTGGTCTGGGACACCAACCAGTCTTCACATGTAACGTTGAGCTAGCTGGGATTACTTTCACTGGAGGCCCAGCTAAGAACAAGAAGCAAGCTGAGAAAAATGCCGCCATGGCTGCCTGGCATTTGCTTAAAAAACGTGAGCTATGTCTAATCGTATTTTTTCCTCATCGGCTTGGATAAATCTTAAAAATTCTATATATTTCAGTATTTCTTTTTGTTTTTGAAGCATTTTATGATAAGTTCCACTTTATTTCTGCTGTAATAGTGGCAAAGGAAGCAGCAAGCTCATCCTCGGAACCAGATAACAATGAAGAACAGGATCAAATCACTATCGCTCGTGCGCTTCTAAATTACCACTTGAAGGAGAAGATGGTAATGGCGAACAACCCTCATGCCACCCCTTTTCCAAAGAAGTTTGCTCAATTAGCTGAGAGGAAACCAACATATGTGCAACAAGCTCCTCTCACTGGGTCAAAGATTTTACCTTTGCTCCAACCCAAATCTATATCAAGGACTGATGGAGCCACATTATTATCACCAACAACCATGCTTAACGAAAATAAACCTCGGCCGCAGAAGTTCCCTGCAGCAGGAGCTCTCCGTTATGTTCCAGTCAGGAACTATGGAGTTCCATTTCATGCTGTAGCTCAGCCGGTAACAATAAGAACTGCAGTGCCAGTTTTCTCGGCTCCACCGCTTCCACCACCATCACAGGCACCACCATTTGAAAAGGCATCTCCAGTCAGTGTAAGACCCGTCGTCCCGGTTTTTGCTTCGCCGCCATCGAATGTGATAAAGGAACCGGTATCTGCAGTCATGGCTTCAGCAGAATCTCCCCCACCAACCACTCTTCAAAAGAAGGAATTTGAACATACTGCAGCCTTGCAAGAAGTGAAGGAAACTAACGATAATGCTGTAGCTTTGCCGGCTCAGGTGAAGGAACTAAGCCTTGACATTATGTCCTGTCCTCAGCTGTAGTTCTGAAGGATGCACATACGTTGTTGAATGAATTGAAGGAGTTAGAGATCTCATAAAAAAGGTACTTTTATGCAATGTTTCATTGGGATGAATGGATGCTCAAAATTCGCATTTCATCCTCCTTGCAAACTCTCTTTTTTATTCTATTTTATATTCTGTTTCCTGGATTTTGAAGCCAAGTAGTTGATGTTTTCATTTTTGTTGAAGATGTTTGTGTAGTGATTGGGTTCTCATTATGCACCAAAGGGGTAGAATGGTCTTTGGGATTCAAGCTTGGACTCCAAGGATTTGTAGTGATGGATTAAAACTTCAACAACATGAATACTTTTGAAGGCCAAAACCTTTCTTCTAAGAGAAATGTTATGTTTGTTGAATTTGGAGAGTGCCACTACTCTCAAGGGTAGTTTAGTAAATTTAAATTAATAAGATCCTATGAGCATCCACATTTGCCAAATAAGACAAATATAATATTTCTCTTCTATTAATCATATATAATATTTTTGTTTGGAGAATATTATTGTGTTGGTATGTATTTTACTCTTATGTACATAATTTGTACCCAAATACATCGTAAAATGCATACCAATATGATATGCATACTATCTTTTTTTATTTTTTTATCCCAACTTTATTTCAGGGTTTATATGCATACTATCTTCTGTGTATGTAGCTCACCAAGTATTTTTTACTTTCTTTAGGGAGAATTTGGCATCATTTGGGACAGTTTTCTTACTGTTTTATGAAGTAATTTTTTAGTAAAAAAATTAAATTAAAATAAAAAATTCAACTAAGAAATTGTTTTATAAAGCAATAAAAAAATTGTCCGAAATGAAGCCTTAATCACTCCTTTATTCCTCTTTTTTATAATTTTTAATAAGACATTATTTTCTTTACTTCTATCATTATCAGTAGTCTTTTCCTAATTATATATTATTCACTTTATGAATTATGAGTGACATGATGTGTTAAATTTATAGGGGATTTACATGCATACCATTATATACTATTCTATTTACATATTAAATATCTAAAATTTTAATATTACATACATATCACTCATAATTCACTTTAATATCAAATATATGTGATATAAATGAAATATATAGATGGTGGGAATCAAATATCGGTGATATATTTGATATTAAAATAATATAATGTGGTATATATGTAATATTAAAATTATAGATATTAGATATGTAAATAAAGTAGTATAAAGTGTTATGTTTGTAAATCTCCCTAATTTTATTTATATGATCATTGAGATAAGTTATATGGAAGAAAGAGTGGATTATGAGAAGAAAATTCATTTCATATTTGAGTAATGTGGAGGATGATATTTTTTAAGAAGGGAAGATTATAATGTCTATATTGTGTTATCATAATGTTTTGATTATTTTAAAATATTTTCAAAAATATTAATGATATACAATTATCAATTACATGATTTATAATAATTTTATGAATTAAACAAAAATTTATCTAGTTATGTTTTAATTTTTTTTTTTTTCAATATTACCTTTTACTTTTTAGTTATTGACCTTTAAATCCTATGTGCCAAATGACTAGAGCCCCTCTAACTTTCCAAATGAATGGCATGCATGATGTCTATAAGTGTCTTTTACCTTTTTTAAAATAAAATATTACAAATCTCCATCTAATTTTTTTAATTAAGTTAAGCCTAAATAAGCCTAATGGTATTTTTTTATCTTTTTGGCTTAATGTCATAAACACCCCTCAAGTTTACACATGGAAGGAATAAGAAGTGCCTATTTTAGTAAATTGGGCATCATGATAACAAATTAGCATTTAAGATTTTCATGTAAATTTATTTGATTGAATGGTGAATTATTTTTTCTCATTTTTTGTTTAACAACAACAACAACAACAACAACATCAAGCCTTTATCCCACTACGTGGGGTCGGCTACATGAATCCTTTTTTTTTTTCATTTTATTCCTATTTAAAATGTTTCATGTACCTTTTTTGTTTATTGATTGAAATATATAATGAATATATTAGCATTAAAGATATTATATGCTATATTTGAATTGATATTTTAACCAGAATAATTACATAATTATAATTCATGCATGTCATGACTTTACATATAAGAAATTATGACTATGATTGATAAATCATATTTAATGTGACAATACATAATTTTACCAAATTCACAAGACTTTTAGTTCTTTATCTCTAATATATTATTTGATGAAGGTGCATGGAGTTGGTATATGATCATGAAAGTTGATTTATGTTTCATTTGGGATGATTTTTTACCACTATTTTTTTTTGTGGTCAATGACAATTTGGGTTCGTTGGCATACAACATCGATGAGGCAAGCCTAAGAGGTAGGCTATTCACCATTACTAATTGTCATTAGTGGTGGAGTTGATCATTTGAGACATCTCGGTGGATGGAACTACTTCCGTCCAGCTGTTGATCGTCGTCAGACTTCAGCCAAGCCACCGACTGTTGATGGATTTCATCCCGGCCACTAACTGACGTTTGACTTCTACCTGACAACCAGTTGACGTCAAACTTCCTCCTGGCCACTGACCATTGTGGGACTTCTGCTTGGCCACCTACCGACGTCGAATTTTCATCTGGCCACCTATCTACTCCAGATTTTTGCCTAGCCATTAATTGTTGATGGACTTTTACCTGTCCACTAACTGACATCGAACTTCTACCCGACCACTAACTGACACAAAACTTCTGCCTATCCACCGACCAATGTTGGACCTCTGCCTAGCCATCGTTAGTCACTAGTTTTTTGCCCGACTTTTATTTTTTTTTTTGTTTCACAATTCCAACTTAAAGGACATATTAAGCTTTGTAATCTATTCAAATACTAGTGGAATCAATTCAAAAGATATAATAAACTTTATTATCTATTCAAATATCAATGAAATCATTTCGACTAGGGCAGACCCCATGGGTTTTCTCTTTTTTTCAGAAATTTTCACATAAAAATCATGATATTTATCTTTTCTATTTGTGTGCTAAATATTCGTGCAACGATAAGATGAACAACTCCCCCACTTTACTGTCACGTATATTATAGCTTTCAGCAATAATAAAATTGTATGAATCATGAGTCAAGTGAGTTGGATTCAGGCTAGTTATAATTGTATAGAATCAAATTCAAGTTCAACATTTTGACCTGTATGATAAACATATCTGATTTTATTAAATTATTTTAACAACTTTAAATGAAACTTAGGCTTGCTTTATAAAGCTATTAAGCTATTATAGAAAGTAGCTTTATGTTACAAAATTTTTACGGAAAGAATAAAAGTAGTGAAAAATAGTGATCAAATAAAAAAAATTTATTATTATCTAAAATAGTAAGAAAATGTATCAAATAAAGCCTTAAGCACTCCTACATATTTTAAAACCTATAAGAAATTATGGACTTAGCATTCATTTATAACATTTTTTTTTTTTTAAAGGAGCTGTTATTAATAAGGCCTTAACATGAAAATATAACTTAAAAAAACCAGTAAGATAGGGAGATAAGAGAGTAGATAAAGCAACTTGGACAGACCAATGGGAAACCGGTAAGATTTGACCAAATTCTCAAACTTCATCTGCACCACGCGCACAACGATGCTCTATATTTTTAATTTCCGGCGTGTGGTTCCCACCGCCACCCACCCACGCGCCGGCCACCTCACGTTTTCGGTCGCCTATACGACCTAGCTAATGCCTGCTTCCTGCCTGCTCCATTTTCATTGTATTCAACAATATAAAAAAACTATCTTTTATCTTCTCTTAGAAGGTTAGAAGCGGCAGAATTGAGAGAAAGAGAGGACCGCCGGCGAGGGAAGACCGGAAGGAGAGAAAGAACAGGTCTTTTCCTCTCTTTTTCTCCTCCTACCCCCCAAATATCGCTGAAACATTGATCTCCTCGGAGACTGCCGCTGCAGTTGCTGATTTGTTCCATGGCTGCTTCGTCGACGACTGCCTTCACGGCTTCCCTCGCGTGTGCGAGGCCTGATTCCTTAATCTTTCTTAGGAGATCGGCCGGAGGCTTCGGGATCCGTAGCATCGCGATGCCGCTGAGGAGCCGGAGATTATGGAGAGGCCGGATCAGGAGCGAGGCGGCCACGGATATTGGTGTGAAGAGCGCATCCAACTCTAGGGCTTCCAGTATCTCCGCGCTCGAGCAGTTCAAGGCCCTCGGCAGTGACCGTAAGTAGTTTTGTTACCGTATTTCTGTTTATTCACCCCCATCTACTTGCTGCAGAGGAATAAACAAAATGCAGTTTTGGTTATTGGTTTGAGATTGAATCAGGTTATGACCTATGCTATCTGAAATTTAGGCGATGTGGTGTGTATTTTTGGGGCTATTTAGTTCTAGTTTAGGTATTTCAAGCTAATGTTAGGGGTTGATAAATTAGTGAGAAAGGTCAGGATTTGAAAGGCTTTCAAAATGTTTGGCTTTCTATACTGTGCATGATGATGAATTATGAAGTTGTATATGCTGCATTGTATTCAGATCTTTGTTAAGCTTTTCAAGAATTGATGAAGCTGCAATAAAAATTGTTTTTTGCGCCTAGATAATCACATTTTTATGAGCATTGCTACCTATTTCCAATAAAAAGTAATTGGACTAGTTTCCTGTTGTGAGAGCATTTCTAGTTATCAGTCATTTTGTATAAACTCATTAACCGTGTTGGGGATGAAAAGCAAACACCACAATGATGAAAGTTAAAGCAGCAAATAATAATAGACATCATAATTTAACATGGAACAACCCAAAATAGATAAAAAATCACGGAGCCACACCACACCAAAAAATCCACTATGAAAATTGGGAGAAATAAGTATATATCTCTCTTCTCTCTTAATCTCACCTTGCTTCTCTTCTCACATACACCGTTTACATTGTCTACCATCACATGAAATAGAAGATAAAGCAAGTTATATCCACCAAGGGATGCAACCCTTGAGAAAAAAACAAGAAAGAAAACCATCGAGTCCATCTCGCAGCGTCGCGGTGCTGCAGTGCTCAAACTCGCAACGCTATGCTCTATGTCGATCAGCTCTGGGACACTTGGAAACACAACGTCGGGGCGTTGTAGAAAAAAAAAAAATTTAAAAAAAAAAAAAAAACCCGCCGGGGGAAACCCCCCCCCCCCCCAAGCAAGTACAACATACTTGAAATCCGAGGCAACAGAACAACCCGATTGATAAACACAATCATGTTCCACATATAACAAACCACAAACAAATTTCAGATTTTGAACATGCACCATTTTATATTCAAACATAATTCATAATCAACTATGGAAAGCAAATATTAATGTTGTGATGATTGTTACATCAATATTAAAAATAGACGCCCTGCTAAATAATCTACCACAATAAAAAATACACTAAATATCCATCCAAGCCAAACAGACTTTTCTGTGGTGAGATAACCCACCATTGTATTCAACAATGTCAATATCATTGAACTAGTATATTCTTTGTGAAGTTGCCATCCGCCCTCCCTAAGATGGGCCCCCCTTGTGAAAAAAAAGGCATTTTAGTTGACAGCTTGAGCATCGAATTCCTCCAATGTTTTACTTTAAATCCCAAACAGTTAACCAACAAATTTTCAATGCTAAGACCTTCCCTGTTAATGCAATGGAAATAAGCAGGAAAACAACATAAATTTCAATAATGTCCGATCACATACTTGTGAAAACTATGGAGAACCTGTTGTGGAATATAGGAGTTTGAGCATAATTAGAAACCAGAATAAATATTAATTGTTGGCAAGTAGCATACAAATGTTTTAGATGCAAACAACATTCAGTTCACATTACAATATTACATAGCCTATCATGAAAACCATAGTAACCACCACTGGAGTTTATTGATAATCAAGCTTTAGTGACAAGCAAGAATTTAGCTATCGTGATGAATTTATGACTTGGTCGTTAAAGAAGCTATATTCATTTGTAATATTGATCTATGCATTATGAAACATTGAACCAAAAACCGGATTTGCATAATTGGAACTCCTCTCTAGTCCATTTACAAATTTGCATGCTTACGACTAGAGATCTTTGGGCTAATTATGTTGTTGTTAATTTTTTTTTTCTATACTTGCGATGTGATACAGAAACCCCTAAATGATAGAATGAATTTATGTTTATCTGCATTCCTCAAATTAACCAAGAAATGCTTCTTTGGTTTACCAAGAAAATCTAGCATGAAGTACATTTGTAAACATAAAAAGATGGTATGTGCAGCCTTTGGCAGGCCAACACCTCACTTTTTCTATTTGAATCATGGTATTTTTTTAATTCTTCACTCAGATTGTTCATAGTTTGGAGCTTTGAATGCTTCATGTCGTGTGTGTGATAATTGCACGCAGAGACTTCTTATAACAGCAAATGGCTTGGGATTTCTATCTAGCATCTTTCCTTGCATGTAATTGTATAACAAGATCTGCTATTAATTCTTCATTACTTTCCTTAAATTATGACCTTTTTCATGTAGGTTTACTAGTTGGTTCAACTTGAAATTTGTTCTCTCTTTTATTCATCATTCTCTGTTATACCGGTCCATTGGACCAGTCCAGCCGTTGTCGGACCAGCTTATGCGAACAGAGGCGGAAATGTCCGTCTCCTGTACGTGTCGAACGCATTCCCGGGGGTGCATGAGTTGTTTATGAAGGATTTTTGAGGGAGTTAGGAGGGAAATTTGAATGTAGGGACTGTTTAGGGATTTTCTTTTGATTTGTATGCATTAAATAGTTTGTTTTTCTAGGGTTAGAGCATCTTGAATTTGTGTGGAGTTTGAGATCTCTTAGGTTTAAGTTTCCTTTGGGCTCTAGCGGAGTCTAGAGAATTTGGAGAGATTGATCCTCTTCTCAGATTGAGGATTACTTGTGTCTTATTTGATTTTCTTCCGTTAGTTGATTTTTCTCAATAAAGTGGGTTGTTTTTCTTTGATTTTTCCTGTACTTGTTGAGTATCCTAGCTGATTTTGTCAAGATCGTAAGGTTTCATTTGAGATCTTCAAGTGTTTCCTATCATTCTCATCCTGTATACTTTAGTTACATACTAGCACTAACATTCTTGCCCTGTAAAAACTGGTATACTCGAAATCTTTCATGGGTGCTGACGTTTACACATGCAATCAGCACTTTAACACGCAAATGAAGTCAAGGATCAACAAGAATTGCTGGAGTTGTGTGTTAAATGACACTATTTGCTCGGATATACAGGATATCATGGCAAGTTTTGAAAAGTGGTCATTCAAATTTCTTCCTTATAAACCCTTACCAAGGCAACGACACATTAGCAATATATTCATTATCCGAGCTTAATCATCATCTCATGACTGGTAAACATGGACAAGTTGCCCATTGATTTAAGGATTACCTCTTTTGGACTATTAAAAAGTTAAATGTGAATATTGGCAAGTTTTGACTTTACCAAGGCACAATTAGATTTTATCATGAAATCTGATGCAAGTCAAGCTTGGGTTTGGGTTTCAAACAAGTCCTAATAGTAATTGTTTGCCCTTGTGTACGAAATATTGTAGATAATTGTCTTAGTTTGCAAAGTTTGGAACGCTTTTCTCACAAAAAAGTGTGTTTTGTTTATATGTATTATACTTAAAATTATTAAGTTCACCAATTTACTTATAAAGTTTGAAAACCCTATAAATCCTTGTTCTCTATTGCTCTTCTAAATTGTCATTCTTTCTCCTCCAACTCCTCATTCTTTCTATGGTTCCATTGCCACAACTCCTTATATTTACTTTTATTTTTATTCAACAAGAGGAAGTGCTGACTCAAACTCGTTGAACTGTGCTCAAACTTGGTCTTTTAATTAGTTAAGCTCAAGCTCAAATCAGGATTGTTCAAAATTGAATCAACTCATTTAATTTATTGCTATTGTGATCAGGATATATGAAGGAAAGGAGTAGCATTGCTGTTATAGGACTTAGCGTTCATACAGCGCCGGTGGAGATGCGAGAAAAGCTTGCTGTTCCTGAGGCTCTGTGGTCTCGTGCAATTGGAGAGCTATGCAACCTGAACCATATAGAGGAAGCTGCTGTTCTTAGCACCTGCAACCGGATGGAGATTTATGTGGTTGCTCTATCTTGGCACCGTGGAATCAGAGAAGTGATGGAGTGGATGTCAAAGGTAACTCTATCTACATATTTTCTTTTTGTTTTTGGCTTTTTAAGTAGACAAATATGGGATAAAGTTTTGATTTTTATACCTTCTAGGAGTTAACCAAATTCTTAAAGAATTAATAAACTTTTCTTTTTCTGCTCTTAACAGACAAGTGGGATTCCTGTTTCTGAGCTGAGAGATCATCTTTTTATGCTTCGTGATAGTGATGCTACAAGGCATCTCTTTGAAGTTGCAGCTGGGCTTGATTCTCTTGTCTTAGGTGAAGGTCAGATCCTTGCTCAGGTTAAGCAAGTTGTTAAGGTCGCGCAGTCAAGCGGTGGGCTCGGGAAGAACATTGACAGGCTTTTCAAGGATGCAATCTCCACTGGGAAGAAAGTTCGCACGGAGACTAACATTTCTTCTGGTGCAGTATCTGTGAGCTCAGCTGCTGTGGAACTGGCTTTAATGAAGCTTCCAGCCTCCTATGCTCTATCAGCCAGAATGCTCCTGGTTGGTGCTGGCAAGATGGGGAAGCTAGTAATCAAACATTTGGCTGCAAAAGGTTGCAAAAGTGTTGTAGTTGTTAATCCTTCAATAGCAAAAGTGGATGCTATTCGTGAGGAACTGGAAGATATTGAGATAATCTACAAACCTCTTACTGAAATGCTCTCATCTGCTGCAGAAGCTGACGTTGTGTTCACCAGCACTGCATCTGAGACACCATTATTCTTGAAAGAGCACGTAGAAAACCTTCCACCTGTAAGCGAAAATTTCGGTGGATTCAGACTATTTGTTGATATATCTGTTCCCAGGAATGTAGGATCATGTGTTTCTGAAGTCAAAACTGCACGCCTATACAATGTTGATGATCTTAAAGAGGTGGTGGAAGCCAACAAGGAAGACAGACTGAGGAAGGCAATGGAAGCTCAAGCGATAATCACAAAAGAGTTGAAGAGTTTTGAGGCATGGAGAGACTCATTAGAGACTGTACCAACAATAAAGAAGCTGAGGTCTTACGCCGAGCGAATCAAATCTGCGGAGCTGGAGAAATGCATACAGAAGATGGGTGATGATGTTTTGACAAAGAAGGTGAGGAGAGCTGTAGAAGATCTTGCCAGTGGCATTGTGAACAAGCTTCTGCATGGTCCACTGCAACACCTAAGATGCGATGGCAGCGACAGCAGAACTCTTGATGAGACACTGGAGAACATGCATGCACTGAACAGAATGTTCAGTCTTGATACAGAGAAAGCAATCTTGGAGCAAAAAATCAAAGCGAAGGTGGAGAAAGTTCAGAGCTAAACAACTGATGAAAGAAGCTGATTTTTTTATTCAGAATTAGCTCCTCCTGTTGGAGCAGATTCATCTATTGCTGTATCATATATACTGTAGTCATTGGATAAGAGTTGTTCTATCTCCCAAGTTTTTTAGTTGAGTTGGCCCAAGTCTATAGAGAATGATGATCCACAGCAGGTGTTGATCCATTTGATCAGGGGGAAGAAGAATTGAGAATACTAATTTTTTCCAGTTTTTCCTGATATTAAGAAAATGTCTCATTCTCGACCTCCTGAACTGAGGTAGCATATCTTTTTTTATGTCAAATAAGTTGTTTGAAAACAGCTTTGTATTATCCATTCAAAGTGCCATTAATGAGATAATTTGATTCATCCAAGCAGGTAGCGACAGAATTCTGCAAACAGAGATGAATAATTGAAATGTTCTCCCAATCATCTTTGCTATGATAATGCATGATTCTTGGGAAAGTTATTATGTGCGGTGTCTGGATTCGTCCGGACGAATCCGGACGCTCCATGTCTCCCAGGGCCCAGTGCATCCGGGTGATGTGGCGCGTCCGGATTCGCCTCCGGATGGTCCGGACACCGCATGTAATAATCTCTCTAATTCTTGGTTCTTTATTTTGTTAAAAATTAACAATCTGTGTGCTCAAACTCTTGCTCTGGCATCCTGTGTTACTTTGCCCTCTCTTTATAACCTCTCGTATATCTAAGCCTGCTCAGAGAGCTTGTTTTTCTTGTTCCATCCTTGTTAAGTTGGAGTGTTAAAAGTGCTTCGTGATTCCACATGACCCACTTGAAGTTTAGGGGGCAATGGGGGAGTTCTGTGCTTTGAGAGATGCATTTTATGTGAAGAAAATGAGCTGCATAAAGGATAGATAGATGACCCACTTAGAGAATCAAAGGAGATGGAACATTTCTTCGGTTCTTCTTAGGATTTCTTAACACCCCTTATGCATGTCATAAGTACATGTTTCTACTGTATTAATTGTTATTTTATTCATCTCAAAGCATTGATCACGAGCTCTCTGTAATATCCACAGCTATTTGCCTGAGAGTTTTGCCACCTGAGCCTGTAATTCGTCACATTTACTGCATGCACCAAAGAATATTGGCTTTCCCGTGCTGTTAATGTTTCGATCAAATCATCCATTTAGATTTTATTTGGAACAATTTTTTACTGCTTTCTAAAGCAGCTTCTTAATACAAAAAATTATTAAACTTGAAATATTTGTATTAGAATATTGTTTTAGAAGTCATGGATGTTCTCACTAGACATTTGCAAGAGGATGTACCTTGGTGTGTGCTTTTTGCTGATGAGATTCTTCTAGTTGATAAGACTAGAGAGGGAGTTGAAGATAAACTTGAATTATGGAGGTCAACTTTAGAGTCTAAAGGTTTTCGCCTGAGTAGATCTAAAACTGAATATATGGAGTGTAATTTTAGTAGTAATAAACCTAGTGAGGGGATTGAGACTTTGGACGATCAAGTCATTAATAACAGTACATGATTTAGATATATTGGATTTATTGTTCAAAGTGATGGTGAAATAGATGGGAATATTATCAGTAGAATTCAAGTTGGATGGTTGAAGTGGAGGAATGCATCGGGCTTGTGTGATTTTAAAGTTCCCCTCAAACTTACGTGTAAATTCTGTAAGATGATGGTGAGACCTGCAATGCTTTATGGTGTCGAATGTTGGCCATTAAAAGAGAAGCATAATACTAAGTTAAGTGTTGCTAAGATGAGAATGCTCAGGTGGATGAGTGGCTTTACCCTTTGAGATAGGATACGAAATAAGCATATACGTGAAAAGGTTGGAGTACCTCTAGTTGAAGATAAGATTAGAGAGTCACCTTAGATGGTTTGCTCATATAAAACGACGGCCTACCAATGACCTTGTTAGAAAAGAAGAGGTATTAGATTTGACTTATGTTAAGAAAGATAGAGGTACACCTAAAAAAACTTGGTTAGAAAATATTAGAAATAATCGTTCTTTCTTAGATTTAAACGAGAATTTGACTTTTAACATGACACAATGAAGAAAAATGATTCATGTTGACAGCCTCACGTAGTGGGAAAAAGGCTTGATATTGTTGTTGTTGTAGAAAGTTATTTTAGAAAACATTAAGAAAACTGTCCCAAACGAAACCTAATTGTCAATCTTGTCTCTTCTTTCAGCATCAACTCACCCTAGCACTTCGTCTATATGTATATATGTGATTGGATGTTGCTGCTTAGAGCTAAGTTAGCATAGGAGATTTAAGGCAGTTCGATGGATTAAAATTTTAATGATCAGATTGGCCAAAAAAATTCCGAGAAGATTTGTCACATTAATGTCCTAACATTTTTAACATTGATCAATTCTTCTTCTCGAAGGATTTTGTGATATGATAATTTCAAGAAGTCGAAGATTTCATTTGGGATGGCTTTCTTACTGCTCCTTAAAGCAGCTTTTTAGTTCAAAATTTAAAAATTTTGCACTAGAAAGCTGCTTTAAGAAGCACTGAGAAAGCCGTTCCAATTGAAGTCTAAGGCTTTGTTTGCGACGGCTTTCTTATTGTTTTTTAAAGCAGCTTTTTAGTACAAAAAATAAAATTTTTGAACAAGAAAGCTGTTTTTAGAAGCAGTAAAAAAGCCGTCCCAAATGAAGCCTAAATCTTCTCGAATGAATTGCTTTGTAATGAGCAGGCATTTTATAATTGTAGATTATTTCAGTATGTCCTTTACAGCTAACCAGAAGGGAAGCAAATGGCGTTTTGATCATTGATGATGGTGGCAATGGCATAATCAACATTGCAAGGGCTATCCTCTGCTCATTCTGCAAATTTTTGCATGCTAGGAATTGATTTGGCAGGGTTGATTCAACTGGAGCTAATTTTGTTAGTTCAGAGCCTTTTGACAGTAATGATTTTGATCTCTAATAAATTTTTTATCGCTAGATAGATTGTGAAAGATAGAATTTGTATTATTTTGAGCTAATTTGTTCACTAATTTAACTAATTTGAGTAAAATCAAGCAATAGATTAAATCCCTGATTTACCTCAAGATCATACGTATATGTATTTCATCAAGAGGTTGCTTGGTTGCAAGTAATATTAATGTAAAGTAAATCAAATGTATAACTTTTGAAATTTTCGATGTTTAGTTGGAAATACAAAACAAATGCAAAGTAAAGCTTTAATGTATGGAATTCCATATTTTCTTTATTTTCAATATTTGGAATACGCATGATTTGGACGAATTTCAAAAGCATAACTTAGCCAATGTTAACACCAAATGCCTCCACCGGCCATGGCCACCAATCTACCCGCTAGCCACCATCAGTAGCTCACCGCCACTGTCATTTTCAGGAAGGATAATTATGTGCGGAGTCTGGATACAAAGAACTGTTCGGTTTTATGACTATGTACTATAAAAGCATAGTAAAAACGTAGTTGTGAATAATAACTGCGTTTTTACTGTTCACAGTCATAAAATCGAACGATTCTCTGTCCAAACTCCGCACGTAATAATTTTTCTTTTTTCAAGCCTTACATTGAATTGATTTTACTTCAAATCAAATATAAAAAAAAAGAATGGCATGTATCTATATCATGCTCAATACATAATTCAACAATATTTTCAATATATTATATTTGTTGTACCATGCAGCAAAACAAACGGCCCCTAAAAAAAATTTGAATTCCAATATAAAGAGTGAAGAGAAATAACAGACTTTCAAGAAAATTTTCCAATATCAATATATTTCAACTAATGCTTTTTCTCCTTTCCCATTTTACTTTTGGGAAGTGGCGTTTCTAATCATCTCGATCCCAAAAATGAATATTTTGAATATCTTCCCCTTTCTCTTCCATCGTTGATGGAGCCATCTCTATGTTTCTCTCTCTAGAGGTGGTGTCTCTTTCTATCTAGTGGTGTTTCTATCACCTCTCTCTCTCTAGAGGTGGTGTCTCTTTCTATCTAGTGGTGTTTCTATCACCTCTCTCTCTCTCTTTCTCTCTCTCTAGAGGTGGTGTCTCTTTCTATCTAGTGGTGTTTCTAGCACCTCTCTCTCTCTCTATCTCTATATCTCTCTCTATCTCTCTCTATCTCTAGTGATGTTTCTAACTTTCTATCACCGTCCTAAGACTTTGGTCTTATATTTTGTTCTTTGTTCACCACTATATGTGTAATGAATATTTTGACAAATCATTTCTATTGCGCTACAAAAATCAATAAAACATCTCTTCATTAATGATAGCAATATCAAACCAAAATTTTCATTAAAATAAAAATAAAATAAAATCAAAATATCATATCAAAATTTTAATCACAAAACTCTTAATTTATTTTAAAATAATATTAATAAAATTTTAAATTAGTTCATTTTCAAAATAAATTCAATAGTTTGAAATCTTTAAATTGAAAAAAAAAAATTAAAAATTACTCAACCAAGTTGGTTTAACTTGATTAGGGGTGTGCTTGTTATGATCACAATGTTTTATAAAGTTGGTTATGCAATTATTGTGATAAAAGTTAGGGTGTTTGGGATAACTTTTCTTTTGCTTTTTGAATAGTAATAACAATTTCATCTGCCTATACTTTTTTTTTTTACTATTTTCTCACTAATTTTTGAAAAAAAATCCGCGATGGAATGCTATTTATTGTAACTAGAATAACTGAATTATTTTCTCCGGTAACATTTTATAAAATACTGCAGATATCCCAAATTGACCATAACTTTGCTATTATGATTACCAAAATAATTTTACATCTCAAAATTTTCTAAAAAACAATAAGAAAACAACAATAAAACAATAGTTAAATGTAACGATGCTTGCTGCCTGAAAAGAAATCAACAGACAAACGATACCAAACAAATCTATTGGGATCGTCACAACATTTTATAAAGTTAGTAGTATAGTCGGGAAAGTAAAAGGCTTCGTTTGGTATAACTTTTTTGCTGCTTCTTAAAGCAATTTTCTAATACAAAAAAGAAAATAAATTATACTTAAAAACTGCTTTGAGAAGCAATAAGAAAGCCGTCCCAAAATTTACTTGCTTTCTAAAGAAACTTTTTAGTACACATTTTTTTTTTAAACAACAAAAAAATATTGACGAGAAGCTATCCCAAATAAAATTTTAGTTTTATGGTAACAAAAAGTAGCTTTCCAATATCGAAATTTGTAATAAGCAATGAAAAAGCAACAAGAATCCAATAATAAAATGAAATTGTAATTTTCATTTTAAAATCAAAACATTAAAAAAAAAACATCTCAAATATACCCAGACTTACAATAAATAAATATTCATTTGTTTATTTATTAATTTCCAGTCAACCAAATAAGCTTATAAGCTTATAAAATCTCTATATAAAAAAAAAACTTATAAAATCTATAATATATGATCAAGCTGTCATCCAATTAGTGGCGCCCTCCACCGACTAACTGATTAGCAATAATCACAAAAATTAACCAATAATTAATTAACAATTAATGATGCTAATTGCAATAGACCCAACAAGAAATTTCCAAAATGATGATCGGACCATATTTTTTCCACCGTCCATTTATGAGATAATATACTAAATACGGACGTTCATATCAGTGATATATAATCACTTGTACTTTTCTAATACTCATCCACGTGTACCTAATTAGGATTAACTGCTAATCCATTCTATTAATTTGCTTAATTATAGAGCTTATCAGTAAATCATACATCATCAAAGTAATTAAGAAAGTTTAATTATTGTTGCGTCCTGGAATATTCGCGGCGGTAGAGAAATATATAGTTTAACGTCTTAGCGTTGTACGAAGATCCAGCACACAGCCTCGAGATTCGTGCCCGATCAAGCTAATTTTGTGATGACGTATCAATTATATTTGTATTAACTGTTGTTCTGATAGGGATGTCAATTTTAGTTAATGGGTCATATTCAGGTCATATTCGATTATAATTACCCGAATTCTACCTATTTAGCCAAAGATTTAATTAATAATGATTTAGAAGATAATTAAGGGTTTGTTTGAGACAACTTATTACAATCATAATTTAAATTGGTTATTGATTTCTCATTATTTTCTCCCTCTTTTATTGTAGCTTTCTGAATTTTTTATGATGGAAAGCTACTTTTTGCTATTAGAGAAGCTAAGGCTTTGTTTGGGATGGCTTTTTAATTGCTTTCTAAAATAGTTTTTTAGTACAAAAATTTTTAAACTAAAAGATTTTGTACTAGAAAGTTGATTAAGAAAGCTGTCCCAAACATAGCCTAAGTCACTTTCTCCGTAACAACTTTCCAACTAATTTATAAAATGTTGCAGCCGTCCGAATGTTTGTAATTTTTTGTAAATGTAATTATAATGTTGCTATGAGAAAAATAACTTTTTTAAAAGTTGTTATAAAAGGCATATTTCCAACACAAAAATTTCTTGAAATAAAAGAGAGAGAGAGAGATATTAAGATTTTGGTCAAAAAATCAATGTAGTAATAAAGTTATCTCAAACAGACTCGATATCTTTTTATTGCATTTCGGAAATTTTTATGATGAAAAATTAATTTTACAATCATAATAACTAAATTTCTTTCCTTATAAAATTTTCATAATCAATTTTATTAACTAATAATATTATGATGATAAATTTTATATCTCATATGAAATATATTTTATATATTGAGAAAAAGGATTTTTTTATTGCCCAAATTTTATTATTTGTGTTATGAAGAAGAATTATGTACTTACTGAAGGGGTTATTAAGGCCTTCAATGATTGGCATATATAAAGAAGTTTGACAAGACACAAAAAGAATCAAAATTTATTAATGATTTGGAGAGAATAAATTATTAAATTTGAAAAGACCCCGCAATCGCATATGCTCTCCTCGAGTATCCCGCACAACGCCTCGTGGGCCTTCGGTTGATGTTGCCGGCCTGCTCCACACCTCGGGCTGTTGCACCCTGTTTTCCACTTCTCTTCTCTGCACGACAGCATCGCCGATTCATCAGGCGATGCCTTCAGTTTCAAGCAGGATGTTGTTACCGACTTCCACAGTTCAACCTATTCTCCTAGAGTTTTGCCACTTACAGTATTTTTTTTAAAATATTTTTTTTGTAAAGTTTGCCACCTCAAAAACTAATGTTAGTTCCACCCCTGATCGAATCTATTTCCATCCTTCATAATCACATTCATATTTTAGGGTCATGACTCTCTCAAAGCTCACATATTTGTCCCCGTCTAAACCCTAAACTAATGTGTCATTAGATCTCTTATTTTCATCATAGACCTTATTAACATCTTCTTGTAAAAATGATTGTAAAATTGTTATGGATAAAATAACTTTTTTTAAAGCTGGTGTAAAATACAGCTTCCCATCATATAAATTTTTAAAACATAGAGAGAAAGCAATAGCCAAATGAAGACGTGATTGAAGTTTAATAAGCAAAGTTATAAAAAAGTTATCCCAAACACCCAAAATTCATAAAATTATTTTCTTAAACTTTTCAAAACTTAAATGTGCTATAGTAAAGGGTTTAAATATAAATTCTCTTATTTAATGGGCCTAATGACTTAACATCTGACAGCTCCAAACATTAAAAATATGATAATTAGTCACTAATTAGCTAATAGGAAAGATGGTAGCTTACCAAGCTTACGAGGTGCCCATAGAACCTTAGCCTTTAATCTCCTTTATTTTAATTAGTTAGATAATTGGATAATTAAAAAAAAATTAATTATCTCTAGGCATTATAAAAATTTTCTAATTATTATTAAAAAATAAGTGTCTCTTACAAAGTTAGGTAGCAATAATACTCAAATAATTAAAAGTCGGCATCAAAGACAAAGAAAAACATTTAGAATGGGTTCAATTAGGCTGAGTTTTAGGTTGGTTAAATAAGACATTTAGGCTTCGTTTGGGACGGCTTTTTTCCTGCTTCTTAAAGTAGCTTTTTAGTACAAAATTAAAAAAATTTACTAAAAAGCTACTTTAAGAAACAGAAACAATGTCGTCCCAAACGAAGCCTAAGAGAGCTTTGCCTAATCTCTACCAAACTCATTTATATTCTTAGGGAATTAAAGAAAAAAATATTTAGATTTTTTTTTTTAAGGATTAGATAGATGCATCACACTTTTTTAGGCTAAGCCAAAAGCCAACACGAAAATGACATTAAAGTTTTATTTGGAACGGTTTTCTTATGCTTTTTAAAGCAGTTTTTTAGTACAATATTTTTCTGAGCTAAAATTTTTTGTACTAAAAAACTGCTTTATAATGCAATAAGAAAGCCTTCTCAAACAAAATCTAAGTGTAAAACCAAATTAAAAGGTGATTTTTTTAAAATTGATTTTGATTTCATTTTAGACAGCTTTCTTACTACTTAAAAGCAACTTATTAGTGCATACTTTTTAATTTTTGTACTAAAAAGCTGCTTTAAGAAGTAGTAAGAAAGTCGTCACAAAAAACATTAATTTCTCCAATCTAAGCAACAAGAATTTAAAAAATTGTTTTTTTTATGTATTATTTTTTAAATTATTTTCGAATTAAATTATATGTAGATAAAATTTCCTATTTTTATTTATTTTTTACTTATCCAATAACAATTTGTTTGCTAATGTTGATATTGATTTGTAATAGATTATATGAATTAGTAATTAAATAATTGTAATAGATAGTTCAAATTGTGTTAGAGGTTAATAGGTATTTAATTAGTCATAATTAATCATGATAATTCTATAAATACTCTCAATGACAGAGAATTAAAATTTGTATTAGGTTATATGGATTACCAATTAAATAATTATAATAGATAGTTTGAGTTCTGTTAGTGGTTAATATACTTAATTAATCATAATTAGTCTTTATAATTCTATACTTTATTTTTAATCTTCAAAACAAAGAGCCTGCGCTGTAAAGTATTCGGCATAAAATGGGCCGACACACAAGCAGGCCCAGCTTGCGAAAGGATATTTGGGCCTACCCACTAAAGCACGTGGGCCCGATCGTTTGTTGCTTCCAAGTTCAGGCTATCTAGTTACAAATGGGCCCACGAAAGCGAAGTTTTGGACTGGTCGGTCTGGCCGGCATATTTAAACCCGCGAAAATAATGTTAACAAAAATGAACACTGTGCTCAAGCTCAATTATTGTTTAGGTGGGCCATTAAATAAATAATATAAAAAATTCATTTTTTAAGCCAAGCTAAATATATAATGAGCTATATATATATAATATATTAAATTTAAATTAATTATTAAGCTTAAATTAAGTTCAGATATGGAACATAACTCGTGATTGATGGACCCCATCAACAAACAGATTTAATTACGTAACTGGATAACTTTAGCATGCAGAGGCATATCAGGAACTAACAAAATACAACATTTTGGATTTTTTAAAAATGCATTTGCATGCTCTTAATTCATATTGTATGATCTCTTGTGAGAAAGACTGATGGCTAAACTTAACCTGCTAGCTCATTTTTTTCTCTATCATGTAGAAATTAAAAATAAAAAGTATATTTTTGCCAAAATAATCTAAAAATTTTGATTAAATAATTATGATCACTTCTCAAGAACAATTATTAATTTTCTTTTAAAGCAACTACAACATTGAAAATGCAAAAATTTCTTTTCATTAATTATGTAAGGTATGGGTCCTAAATCCAAAAGTGATTAAAATGAGTATAAGGTTTGGGTTTGCGATGATTTCTAATTGCTTTTTTAAAAATAATTTTTAGAAATAGAAAATTAAAACTTTTGTACTAAAAAAACTGCTTTAAGAAACAGTAAGAAAACTCTGTCCTTACAACGAAACCTAAAAATCCTGAACATGCATTAAGATGAGGCAACTATAGCCTATGTATATATATCTTAAATATAATTAAAACACAATTAGTTTCCCAAACTTTTTTAAAAAATATAAAATAGCCTTAATTATTAAAGTATCAATTTTTTTATGGAATTTTTAAATGCAGACTAAAATAATCTTCCTCTGATGATCATTTAATTTCTATTTAAAATATATAAAGCACTAAAATAGGGATTTTAAATAGTATTGGACCATTTTGTTCTTTTGTAAAAAAATCTGGGAACCATTTAAAGGACTAAATATTTTTCTACCAAAATAATCCAATAATTTTAGCTGCACATTCTAAAATAAATAATAATAATAATAATAATAATAAATAAGATTATTCTCATTTCTTCTCCCAAATAAAAAATACCTCTTCTGCCCCTCACCTCCCTGGTGTGGTCACCTCCCACCTTCAAATAAATACACTCACCTCCATGTCCCCCTCCACTCTCTCCCTCGCCCATCAAGCCAAACCAGAGCATCAAAAACAGGGCAAGACCCAGATGGGTAAAGACGTCGAAGTAATCGAATCCGCACCCAAAACGTCACTGAGTACACCGCGAAAGACTATACCGACCCCCTCCCTCCGCCCTCTTCGCTTCGAAGAACTCGCAAAATGGTCTCTTTTACCGCGCAACCATCGCCGAGTTCGTCGCCACCCTCCTCTTCCTCTACGTCACGATCCTACCGTCATCGGCTACAGCCACCAATCCGATCCCCTCCTGTCACCCAACGCTGACTGCGAAGGCGCCGGAATCCTCGGCATCGCCTGGGCTTTCGGCGGCATGATCTTCATCCTCGTCTACAGCACCGCCGGGATCTCCGGCGGCCATATAAACCCGGCCGGTACCTTCGGCCTTTTCATCGCTCGCAAAGTCTCGCTTTTTAGAGCCCTGCTTTATATGGTGGCGCAGTGTTCTCGGAGCTATATGCGGAGCCGGTTTAGCTAAAGCGTTTCAGAAGGCGTATTATACACAGATATGGCGCGGAGCGAAGAGGTGGCGGATGGGTATTCGAAAGGACGGCTTTGGGGGCGGAGATCATCGGAACTTTTTGTTTTTGTTTATACTGTCTTCTCTCGCCACCGATCCGAAGAGGAGCGCACGAGATTCGCACGTGCCGGTCAGTATTCTACTCTCTCCTCTCTCTCTCCTATTTTTTTAATATTATTATTTATTGTTAAATGCATTTAAAATTTTATATTCATATAAATGAGCAAAAAATTCCAAATATTTGAAATTATAAATAATTAATTGATGATATTTTTGTTTATTAAATAGTTTTAATTGGTGAAAGATATGCATAAAATTAAATTTTAAATATTTTTATATACTATCAAAATTTACTATATATTTTTATATGTTTTGATAAATGATTATCTATATAAAAATTATGAAATTTAAATTCAAAATATTTCATATCATAGATTGTAAAAAACTTTATATTTTTTAGTTTAAAGGTTATATAATATGATAAGTTCAAATTTAAAAATTAAAAGAAATTATTATTCCTTTTCTTTAAAAGTTTATTTAATAATATTAATGCAAAATAATTAATTTAAAATAGATTTTTTTTACTTATAGAGAGAAAACACTTATTGATTAATTTTAACAGACTAGTTAGTACAATTATAACTTGTTTATTAATAAATTATTATTTTGATACAAATATTAATTAGAATAATACAAATAATGCAAAAATATTGACCTTTTGTTTTTTAAAATAATGAAAAAATACTAAAATGACTTTGGCATTTCCGACCTATGCACTATTGAATATATAACAATTTTTTTGTACTTTTCTTCTTTTCTCTCAATTATTCTTTACCTTCTCTTTCCTCAACTTATTTTTTAATATGTAGAAGAAAATTATTTATTTATTAGGAGAGCTTTTAACAAATAAATTATTTAATTAAAATATGTTTAGTCTATTGCAATCACATAATATCTTTATTTATAATTATGATCAACATCTCTTCTATAACAAGTCATGGGAAATTATTATGTGCGGCCACCAGACTGTGATGTAAATTAGGATGCTCTATATCACTCGGTACACAGTGATACACAACACCAATACACAGCAAAAAAGTGACATAACGCATCCTGATTTACCTCCGAATGATGTCCAATGACCGCACAGATTAATTTCTCTAACGTTTCTACATAAAAATATAATTTTGACATTTATTTGATATAATTTGAATCATTCATAACATGTAAATCGGGGCAAATATTTCTTCATAATTCAATTTTTTTATTCAATTATATCTCTTAGCATTCATGCTAGTATGGTTAGAATCATTAAATGTTATTTAGTTTTAATTTATATATATTATTATATATAATATTTATATATTTTGATTAACACATTGAGATTGTGATTAATATGACTTTAAAATTTAATATGCTATATCTGATTTGGGTGATTATATTACAAATAGAGAAAGTTGGAATTAATTTGTGCATAAAAGAATTTCAAATGTTTTAGTCCTAGAAAAAAAAAAAAAAAAGCTAGCATGTTGGGAGGGTATTTTTATAATTAAAAGTGCTATTTCCTAAATTACAATATATATATATATATACATATAGAATCATTTGCACCTTGTGTTAGAAATGTAAATTCAAGATTAATCTTGACGTTTTTGCATTAATTTTCTTTCTTCTTTTGTTTTTTAGGTTTTGGCCCCTTTGCCCATTGGTTTTGCAGTTTTCATGGTTCACTTGGCCACCATTCACGTCACTGGTACAGGTATCAACCCAGCCAGAAGCTTCGGAGCTGCTGTGATCTACAACAAGAGCAAAGCTTGGGATGATCAGGTATCATATTGTGATAGCTCAAATTCTTAACTATCGAGATATTGCCCGCTTTGATCTAAGAACTTCACGGTTTTGTCCTGTTGATATAATGACTGAAATTTCTGTAAGAAACTCTTATATATAATATTTATAATAATATAAACTAATTAGCTCTTAACAAATAAGTGCAGAATCAAAATTAAAAAAAAAAAATCTGATTCTATGTTTTGTTGCAGTGGATTTTCTGGGTGGGGCCATTTGTAGGAGCAGCAGCTGCTGCAATTTACCACCAGTATGTACTGAGAGCTGCAGCAGTTAAGGCTCTTGGATCATTCAGGAGCAATGCATGATCATTAAAGTATCGTTTGTAGGACGGCTTTTTTATTGCTTTTGAAAGCAGCTTTTTAGTATAAAATTTTTTAATTTTCATACTAAAAAGCTGCTTTAAAAAACAGTAAGAAAGCCGTTCCAAACGAAACCTAACACTCTCCTCAGCAGCTTATCTTCTCATTAAATCCAGTTGTGAGGGAAATAAAGAGAAGAAGAATGGTGGAAACTGGGAAATGAACTAAAAAGCCAAAAGCAATGGAAAACCTTAGAACTGTAGATATAAGTAGTGAAAGGGAAGAATCTATGGGGTCTTGCTTTGGTTTATTTCCTATGTGCTTGAGTGTACTTAGATGGTTTGATTGTGTCTATATCTATGTGTTTCTCCTTTACTGTCATCTTTTAAGACATTTTCAGCTTCTATTTTTAAGTGCAATTTGAATTCTGCTGTTTTAATGCAGTTTTTTTTTTTTTTTTTTTTTCTTCATTTTTTTTTTTTTTTTTGTTTCTTCAGTCATTGAAGTGGTGTGTCTCTCTTTAGAATTTATGATGAAACCTGCAATGTTTGTTTGGGATAATTTGCATAACTATATTTGCCACACTTCTATTTTGTTCTAATTTTATTGTTAAGTTTCAAAAAGATTTATAGCTGGATTTTTAACTGCTAGAACTGCTAAGGTGAAAGCTATTTGCAAGCTACAGTTTATTTTTTATTAAGGAAAAAAATATAATACTTACAATAACTTATATAAATAGTTTTATAAATAGCTACACTCATCCCAAATAGTCCTTAAACATATTTTAGTACTAGTCAAGGCCACATGTGTTTCCATGAGAAGGCTTTTTATAGCTTCATTTAGGTTTAGTTTGAGACATTTTTCTTCTTGCTTTATAAAAGAGCTTTCTAATATATTTTGTACTAAAAATTTGCTTTAGAAAGCAGTAAAAAAGTTCTCCCAAATGAAGCCTAAATGTTTTTTTGGAGGAAAATCTCAGTGTATGTCCAATTATAAATTTTACTCAAAGTTTGATCCTCAATAAATTCCAAGGATTTTTATCAACTATGGCTTCGTTTGGGACGACTTTCTTACTGTTTCTTGAAACAACGTTAAAATTTTTATACTAAAAAGCTGCTTTAAGAAGCAATAATAACGCCGTCCCAAATGAAGCCTAAGTTAGTTGGCATCCACATCTAAAAGTTTGAGTGTTGAAGCACTAATATGTAAAATGATTCAATCTCCAGTTCTTGACAATAACTTCAAAACTCTTTTACCAACTCTATTACCTAATACCAACATAAGAGAGCCACTGTATTTTTTTCTTAATGAAACATCTAAACATCAAAGCATAACTTTAATCAAAGGAATTAAATCCTAACATTATAGGAGCAACTCATTAACTTTTTATCAACTAAAGAAAATAACACCTACAAAAAAATTTAAAATTTCATCCACATATGATAATATCACTAACCATCAAAGAATGGAGGAAAGCTGGCAACCACTACGCAGTCATAATTTGTGTTAGAAGCACCAAAAAGCAGTCATTATCTTTACTAAATACTAAAAACGTCAGCAGAAGACAGATGTGGCTATGAGCAGAATAAGATTTATGAATGCTGACAAAGTGATTACAGTGTTAGGTTAAGGATCATGTTGACAATATTAATTTAAAAGAAAGTGCTCAATAATTATAGCCTATGCATCTATTTTAAATACAGGCAGATGAACTCACCCATCCTTATCTTCTCATTTTCTTAAAGCAGCTATTGATTTTGACTATTTAGTGGTTGGCTTTTCCTCACCATGTGCTTACAGTCTAAGCCAAATATGAATTAGGTGTGGAGAACAATCTAGAGAAATAAAGTTGCATGAAATTTATCTATTTTTATTAAGGTTTTGTTTGGGACAGCTTTCTTACTGCTTCTTAAAGCAATTTTTTAGTACTAGAAAGTTATTTTAAAAAACAATAAGAAAGCTGTCCCAAACGAAACCTAAGTCCTGAAGGATCAAATTTTAATGAAAAGAAAAACTAGAAAGATAATATGAAGAATAGCTTAAGATTTTCTTAAGGTTTGATTCATTAACTATTATCCTGACCAAAAATGAGATTAAGTTTATTAATGAGTTAAAAAATCTTATTTATCTATGGTTTGCTCATTATTAAGTTAAATAAGATTTACTTAGCAAGTCTAATTGTAAGAAAATATAAGTGTCATTTTCAAGATAAAATGTTTAATGAGTATTATAGAACTTGAAAGTTGAAACATGCATGTATGCCAAAAAAAACAATTCCTATGAATAGGGAGTGTATAGGAGATCTACATACTTCTTTAATTATTGTTGCTTGACCTTTCCTTAGCTTCTTTAATGCAAGCACATGTGATTGTCTTAACTGGATTGAAATGTCTTATTTGTAAACTCATACATGTCTATGTAGATAATTCATAAGTAACATATAGGTTCTATCAAGGAATTTGATCAGAAGAATCATCCAATTAACCAAGACGGAACTCTGATGTTCTTCTTGATCCATATCAAGAAGGGGAAGACTCCTTTGAAGTAGGTGTAGACTCCTTAGAGAAAAAGAAGGGGAAGAAGATAGACTAGAAAGGGAGGAAATCAGAAATTATCCATTCTGTATCCTTTTGTTACAATAGGAGAGATATTTATAATACTTGGGTAGAGCAAGTTTACAATATAGAACTGGTCTACTTAACACAAACTTAAAATAGAAAACAAGGAAAGTAGTGCTTATTACATATGTATAAACTATTTACTTCGTACTTTGTTTGCAACGAGATATATTGCTAATGTATAACACACTCGTCCATAAGGATCATAAACTCAGAGCCATCATCAGTCCCAAGCTGTGGTCTAACAACCTCTCTCCTCTATATGAAATTGTAGTGTGTAGACTCGCCCTAAGAGAATGGATCTTGGATACAATCACTCTACTCATCTGCAGCAACCATTACTTGAATTTCAACATTTTCCACCCTTCCTGCACCAATCAATACATATGATAAAGATTTTAGTATAACATCCCTACCCACCTAAACAAGAGCTACTGCCTCTAAGTGCTGGAACTATAGTTACACCTTATTGCACTTACATGTGAGACTTAAATCAAAGTTGTTAATAGAACATTAGGAAATTTTTTAAGATATTTTTCATACAAGAATATTAGAATTTACACCAACCCACACTAGAATTTGCCCACAATAATATTATTTCATAACAACAAAGACAATATTTTCTGAGATTTTTATGAGTACAAAGAGGCTTATTTATCAAGCTGACATTTCATATCATATATTTTTTATGTTGCATTTACATTTATACATGATTTTCATAATGTTTATGCACATTTATGACAACAAATTGAAATTAGTAATGATAATTATTAAAAAATTGTTAATAGAAAGAGTTAGGGTTCATTTGTGATAGCTTTCTTATTATTTTTTAAATCAAATTTTTAGTAAAAAAAATTTTTGATCTAAAAATACTTGTAGTAAAAAACTGCTTTAAAAAGAAGTATGAAAGTTGTTCCAAACTAAACCTTAATCAAGAGAATATAATGAGATGATTATGTACTAATTCAAATTCAAAAAGCAACTTGCAAGAGCTTGTGGCTCATGTGAAATTTTTAAGAAATCTGAACCTAAAACTTATTTTCATAACTTGTCTTTTGGCATGTTCATTAGTCATATTTTTCACGTAAAAGATATTTTGCAATATAGATAAATTATAAAACCTCATGACTTGCCGATTAAACCACTTGTAGGAGACCAACATGATCACTTATAGGTGCGCCTCTTTATCAAAATTTTCTATAAGTTGAAGACCTCATTTTAGATGAAGTTACTATAGCTACAGACACTCCACATGGGTTTCTAGTAAGTTGTAATAATCAACAATAGTTTGAAGACACATGGATGACAAAGGAAGACCTAGTGAAGCTTGTGTTTAAGCTCTTGTATAACTACGTTGATTTTAACTCTATAGAACAAAATTCTTTATGGTAAATGTGGTTTGGTAGAGTGGGCGGCACTATCAGACCAAATTAAAGACTAAAGCATTGCATTAAGATTGAAAGTTATCATCATCAGCAACATTAACAAATTTATAGCATTGGGATTTTGATCAAGTTTGGTTGGCCTCTCTTAGAATCGCTCTCCATCCACTTTTGGCTTTGTCAACCCCGTCTAGAATGATTGCCGTGTGATCTTTTCTTCTTGATATATATATATAAATAGACACATACATACATAGGTTGTTAGATATTAGTCCAAGATTTAGGTAGTTTCTTTTTTGAACTTTTCTTTAGTTTTTTGTATGACTTAGATTGCTATTGATGTAGTCATTTATGTCTATATATAGACACTATAGACTGTATTAGGAGTCATGGTTAAGGAATAAAGAATCAGGCTCAGTGATAGGAAATACTTGTAGATTTCAAGTTTTTTCTATCAATAGAGCCAAAATCAGCGAACAAACTCACAAAATCTGAGGGAAAATCTCACCAAATAGTGTTTTATTGCAAGAATCAAACTAATGGAAAGAAGAAATCAAAGCAAGATACAATTGATCCTTAATTCGAGAGGAGAACCAATCTCTAGATGATGAATCTAGAGCCCAAGACACCAAGAAGAAAAATCCAGGAGAACTCAATAATCAAAACATAACCCTAACCCTAATTCTCTCATCCTACTTAAAGCATACAATTAATTAATCAAGTCAAATGACTAAGGAGCTGGAGCCCTTGCCACCCCCTCCTTTCCCTCCCAAGAATTTGAATTTGAAGTTTTGGTGGACCCCACTCCTCTCTCTCTCTCTCTCTCTCTCGTCGCCCCTCCTAGAATAAAACAGGACCGGTCCCCTAGGGGACCGGTTGGACTGGTCCACTAGGGACCAGTATAATACTCAGCCCTCTCCCTCTCTTTCCCCTTCCGTCTCTCTATCCTCCTCTCTCAAGAAGCTCAAGAGGAAGAACTCCTTCCTCTCATTCAAGATCCTTACATAGGTCATGTACTTTTTGGCACATATAATGAATGAACAAATTTTTCATTGCTTGATTACAACTTTAGTGATAGCTGAATTGCTTGATCTAGGAGATAGGAGAGATTTTGGAGAGCTCTAGCTACCTTGCTTGTATTTTATTTCCAACACTCTTCTACCTTTTGTTTATACTCCCTCTAACTAATCCTAGTCAACTCCCACTCTCTCTACAACCCCACAACAACCATAATGTCACTCATAAAGCAAAACTAAAGAGGATCTCTTGGGTTTTACTCTGCTTATAAACCGTAAGCAACCCCAACACCTCAACAAGACCTCTCACCGCTCCCACATAATATTAAAAAACTGAAATTTAAAGAGCACTCAAAGCCAAGTCCTAAACTTTTCTCATATACCAACCACAAGTATCTTTGCCTTCTTCCTCCAATATCCTATCTACCACTACCACATCAGGCAGCCATTTTGTTCTTCCTTGGTATTCCAAAAAGGTAATCAGCCACATTTTTCATAAAACCTGAACTTATTTCATGCTTCAATTATTCCTACAATGAATACATTACAGAGACATGAGAGCTGTATTACTATCTAAGTAAATATGAAGCCTTGGAAACTGAAAAGAACATAATGAATTTCAAAGAAAAATTATTTACAAATAAGTTCAGTTTCACTAATCAACTTGGAAGAACGAAATTTGATCATTGCCTTCACAAACCTTTCACAGGCAACAACTATTTATTCACTTTTCAGCATGGCAGAATTATATGATCGGCACTTCACTTTTGTTCCTCGTCTGGGCAAGCTGTAGTCACACACAAAACTTCATAAGAAAGCCATGAGAAGGTATTCATTTCAAGAAAAAAGATCAAAATAAATTCTTGACTATCCATATGTAGTCAATTTGACCTCTGAATATCACATTTTTTTTTTAATTTAGTTCCTTAACTGCATAAAATTTATCTCAAATAATCCCTAAAGTAGAAATTGAGAAAAATCAGAATGCAAAATTGATTTCAATTTAGTCTTTCAACAATACAATGTTTATCCTAGTTTAATATGTGAAGGAATATTTGGAATTAATTTTGTATAGTTGATGGGTTAAATTAAAGAAATGTGATGCTTTGTAAGACTGCAACTAAATTGGTAAAATACTAATAATTAGTAGACTATTTTGAACTTTGTTCCTATTTTTCTAAACCACTTTGCTCGAAATGATATGCAAAATGAAAATTTTTCAAAAATTCCAACTTAGAAGCAAATGAACAAGCTAATAGTTCCAGTCCATTTGCGACAGCTAATACTAATCTAATAAGTACTATCAATAGCATATTTTCCCCAGAGCTAAAGACGGTTGAAATATGTAAACATGAATAAACAAGCCAAGGACACTCCAAAACTATTATATCATCTATCTTTCCAGTGATTGCAGCAAATTGTAGAGCTACTAAAGGTTTGATGTTTAAGAATCATCATTTGACTGCTTGTATCTCTAGCAGGTAGAGTATTAAAAATATATTTGAATGCCTCAAGTTTATAAAGCAAAGAAAGAATATCATGAAGATTTAAATATAAATTTTATAAATTTACAACAAAACTAGCTGTCCTGTATCAATTTAATTATGATAGAGATATGGAGTAGCACCTATTGAAGATAAGATGGTAAAAAACAAACTTAAGTAGGTTGCAGTGCGGGGGGGGCGGGGGGTGGGGGGAGTGTTTGCAAAATAAAAGTTTGCATTCTTTTGATAAAACTAATATGCAGTCCTCTCCTATTAAGGATAACAAATCAATCTCAGCAACATGGCTTGCCTGCTCCACTACCGCTCTCCCTCTGCTACAGATTCAGAATTGTAAATCTCAACATTTGCTTTATAACTTCCCAACTGATGTGAACTATTAGATGAGTGTGCTGTAGCTATATACAAGTATGAGATGTATCAGGTTGAGTTTGTGGATAAAGGGGCTACTTTATAGTCTCATCCCTTTATCTTTTTGCTCATGCTTTTCATATCTTTGTTACATCTTACGAATTTTGTTTTAGTTTTTTACTGTTTCTAATTTCTTCATGGTATTAGAGCATCTTCTCTACAACACTTGATGGAATCTTCCAACTCTTCCTCAAATCTAGAGATGACTGAAATGGCTTCAAAGGAAGCTGCAGAGATAGATATTCTACCTCAACTAAAATTTCTCACGAAGAACTTGAAAAGTATTTTTCACACCCGACAGAAAATTACTCTACCAAGCATTCTCAAGTGCTTGAAGTATTCAAAGCTAACGGGCTTGAAGGTTACATTGATGGTTTTGTCTCCTGTCCTAGCAAGCATCTCCTCGATTCAGATGGCTGGCCTATAACAAATCCAAGCTACACACAGAGGATGCTTATTGATCAAAATCTCTCTACAGCTCTATATTATGTCATTTCTTCTTCTTTATTACCTTATATCCTTAATCTAGACACTTGTAATAAATATGAGCCACTATTGATAGAAGACTTCAAGCAACAAACAGATCGCAAGTCTACTTCAGGGTATTGCATTTTTATTGGGCCAAACCTCATCTCATGAGCCACAAAGAAGCAACCAATTGTTGCTCATTCCTCCACGGAAGCCGAATATCGTGCATTGTTACTCCTTATCACTGAACTTATTTGATTAAGACGATTGCTTACAGAATTTCATATAGATACTTCAGTTCCATCTCCCATTTATTGTGATAACATTTCAGCAATATTTTTAGCAAACAATCTAATATTTCATGCAAGAACTAAACATAGTGAAATTGATCATCACTTTATTAAGGATTATATGAAGTCCAAAGCAGTTATAGTTCACCATGTGGCTTCTCATGATCAAATTGCTAATATATGCACTAAAGCCCTTTCCAATATCATATTTCATTACCTTAGAGACAAATTAACCATGCAACCTTGGATGATCAATTTGAAGGGAGCTGATAAAGCTAATATGTAGTCCACTCCTATTAATGATAACAAATCACCCTCAGCATAACGGCTTGCCTGCTCCACTACCGCTCTCCCTCTGCTACAGATTCAGAACTGTACATCTCAACCTTTGCATTATAACTTCCCAGTTGCTATGAACCGTTGGATGAGTGTAGTGTAGCTATATAAGTGTGAGATGTATTTGGTTGGGTTTGTGGATGAAGAGGCTACTTTATAGTCTCATCCTTTTATCTTACTGCTCCTGCTTTTCTAATTTGTGTTACAGCTTATGAATTCTATTTTAGCTCTTTACTATTTTTAATTTCTTCACTTTTTAATTTTTATATTATTATTATTAATTGTTTATTAAAATTGCCTCCACTAGAATAAATTTATGGCTCCACCACTAGAGGGTTGGAGATGTATAACTAAGGTAGAAAATGCAACAATAAGATGGGTACATAGCATTAGTGTTGAAGAATTAAAAATAAAAAGAGATAGATTGAATGTGATTAGATGTAGATTGTGCAAAAATATTTGTGGCGAATAGGCTCTGCGCATTATGTAGTACCCAATAAAAATGAATGGAAAATTTAAATTCGTGAAATCACTTGTTACGATAAGGATAATGATGATGATTGTAAGATGTAAATCAGAATATCTCATTGAAAAAGAATACTATACTTGTTAAAAGGAAAATTTTGATTTCTTTATCCGGGTCATTTTTTAATCTAACCAAGCATAATTTGTACTTAATCAAGTCCATTTTTTCACCGACCCCCGTGGGGTGCGGATTTATTGATATAAACAAGATTTGAATAAAAAATCTTGACAACAGCTTTTAAAGATCTTCACCAACTTGCATCCCCAAGTTGGTGCATCCTTACTCAAAAGCATGAATGAAAATTGGTCATTTATAAGAAGAACAATTTCAAAAAACATACCTATTGTAAAAAGGAAAATAATTTTAAGCTATTGTTGAACAATAAAATGAATTTTATTCTCATCAGGCTACAATTTCACTTTCATTTGCACTTTTTCAGTAAGTAGGATTGCAAGATCAAAAACTAAAACACCTTCTTTGTGCATGATAATTAGATGAAGCATATGACCCTTTTTTATAATCACTGTCATGGATGATTCTTGAAAATCACAGGTCAATGGAAAAATAAATTGATCATCTTCCTCGTCTATGTATCTTTTGAAAGTTTTAATAAGTCATGTGTGATGACATCTCACACTGCATCAATTACATCGAACTACAAAAAACTCTACTCTGAATAGTCAAAATATTATCGGGGGAAGAATTTAAGCTCCTCAGTTGTACAATAAAATTAATTTAATATGGACTAAGGAAGAAAGAAAAATGAGAAATGTATATCAAAAAGCGGTAACAAATTAAAAATCCATCTTGAGGAGGAAGAGATAGATGGGAAGAAACCACCATCAACAACAACATCAATAGAAGGGTCTTATGGTAGATCCTCAAGAACATTATCATATCTCTGAAAAGATATTTTTGCAAGCTTGAAGGTCTTCTGATAGGAAATACTTGAGTTCGCAAGTAACCCTAAGGGAAATACTTGAGTTCACAAGCAAACCTAACAGAAATTGGAAAAAAAATGGAAAATCTTGAAATCAGCAGGACGAAGCAGAAATTTCAGAAAAATTGAAAAGAAACACAAGGAAACTTCTTCTATTCAATCCACGAACAAGAAAAACAATACAAGGAAAATTGGGCCCATTAGGGTATCCGCCCCCCTCCCCTTGGTTCTGCCCCCCACTTGGCCTGGGCCGCCTACTGTAGCAGAGAACCGGTCCAAGTTGGCAAACTGTCTAAAATCTTTTTTTTTTCTTTTTGTTATCATTAGGTCTTATGATTGGCTTTTGGCTAGTTGGCTAGGTTGGGTTGATTAATTGAGTTGCACTAAATTTTGACGCAATTTTATTTTCATAATAAGGTTTCTTTTATGAAAATGTAATTTAAGAAACCAAGAACCTAAAGTTGGCACCTGTTTGATAAGTAAACAAAGATAATTTTAGTAGATAATTTACAAGGAGATATATAATTCTTTTATTCCTTCCCCCAAAGCCAAACCAGTGTCAAGAGTTAACCAAAAGCTTCTTAATTCTTATAAATGAGTAACTTTTAGAACCCAAATGAGTAAATGATGCAACACATCAGAGACGACCAATTACAAGCCCCCTAGCAGGACCCTTGCACGCATAATTGATTAACTTGCAAGTCATTGTTGTCATTTTCTACATCTATTGTATTGATTTTCATTTGTTTTATCTATTGTAATTTTCTTTATTGATTTCAAAATCTTTGAATAATTGTAAAATTGAAAAGTGTTATGCATGCAAGGAGGCCTTCCAACTCATCATTGGGACAGCCACATCACCAGAAAATGCCATATATTCTTCATAATCTATGCCAAGTCAAGGGGACAGCCACAAGGGAAGACTTGGTCAAACTTCAAGCCACTTTTTAAGAGATCATGTCAAATGGTCAAGGAACAGACCAATTTTTCAAGAAAGCATGGTTAAATGGTTAAGGGATATGTTCCTAGAGAGCAATAGTCTTCATCACATTCAAGGAACTAACTCTATAATCTCCTCAATGAAGTGGCCCATAGACTCCACTTCCTCAAAGATCAAAACCACCAAGAACCAAGTCCAATGGAAAAACAACTGCCCCTCATTTAGATTTTTTTTGTTTAAAATTGAATTGTATTTATAATGTTGTATTTTCTTTATAGCATTTTAGTTCAGGTTGTGAACATCTCCAGCTTATATAAATAGTCAAGTAAGCAATGAAAGAATTAAGACTTGTTTGTGGTTGTGTTCCACTATGG